CGCGTCCCCGCCGCCGCCAAGTTGGAGCGGGCCGAAGTCCGCCGCGTTGGCCGGCATCCCCGGCGACGCGTACGCGAGGTGCTGGTGCTGGTGGTGGGGCGGCTGCTGTTGCTGCTGCTGCTGCTGTTGGCGCCGGTAGAGCTCGGCGTAACGCTCGCTCAGGTAGAGCTGGCGCGCGTTGCGGAGCACGTAGGACACTAGGAGGTTCTTGTGCAGCTTGATGCCGCCGCGCTGGGTCCGGGAGCTGTGGATCTTGCGCAGGGAGATGCTGATCAGGCTCTGGGCGTCCAGGGCGCACTCCATGCTCCCGCGGAGATGCGGGCGGCGGAGCAGCCGCCTTTGCTGCTGCTAATGCTGCTGTTGCGTGTATCTCCAGCAGGTCGCTGGGGCGCACCGGGCACAGGGAACCGAGCCCGGGTCAGCGGGTCGGTGGCGCTCCGAGAGAAGCCGCCACCATGCGCTCCGCGCCACCCGCAGGCTCACGCTCCCCAGACGGCGCCAAAGCAATGAGCCTCGGCCGGCCCCGGCCCCAGTTATTTAGCCGGGTAGCAGCGCCCCGCCCCACTGCAGATTACCCAATAGAAGCGTGCGGAGGCTCCCGAATGACAGCCGCTTCCCGCCCCAGGGCCATTTGACTGACCAATCAGACCAAGGCGGTTCCTTTGTGCTATTCAAATACCGAACGGACCCCGGGCCTCCAACGCCGCCGCTGCCTCGAATGTTCTCTTGGGACCGCGGCACCGCGTGGGACACGGAACCTCCTAGATAGCGGCCCATAGCGTGGGTCGTCTCTCGGGAGCCACATTGAAGCCCGCGGCTACCCTGGACCTGGCTCCAGCGAGTTGGGGGTCGGCTCACCTGAGAGCCGTGGAGATGGCTCCGCCCCCTTCCGCACAGTTGGGCCTCACCTGCAGCAGGTGCGCGCGGTTCCCCGCTCAGGACCACGCGGTGCCTCTTCTTTCTCACCTGCCAAGGCTGGGGATAACCAGGGGGATCTGAGCCTTCTCCCAAGAAAAGCTGGTGTGTGTGTCGGGGGGCGCATCTGGGCACTAGGGTATCCTCATGGAAAATAGAGTTTGGGACTTGATTCCCTGGTGATTTAGCCCAAGGGCCTCTGGGAATGGTCGGGGAAGGGCCTCCCCTCTGTTTGACTGCAAAACTCAAGTGATTTTTGATCCATAGTAGAGAAACTTTGTCGTTGTGAGCCAGCCCTGAGGGGTGGGAGGTTGGAGGCAGGGAGCTAGGAACCCGCCCCAGCTTCCTCCTCACCTTTGGGTAACCTCTCCTTTCCTGCCTCACTAATATCAGTGACAATAGAAGCATTTACTGTGTGTCTAGCTTGGGGCCCTTAGCAGAAGGTCTGAATCCCTCCTGTCTCTAAGGTTCTCTGGGTCTGGGCATGAGATCCTCTTGGGGCAACCTGTTAAGATCTGATCAAAGCCGGGTAGTGGTGGCGCACACCTTTAATCCCAGCACTCGGGAGGCAGAGGCAGGCGGATCTCTGTGAGTTTGAGGCCAGCCTGGTCTACAAGAGCTAGTTATAGGACAGGCTCCAAAGCTTCAGAGAAACTCTGTCTCGAAAAACAGAACTCTGAGCCCCAGGAGTACCCAAGCCAAGGACTCATTACCTTTTATGTCCTTATTCTGAGTTATCCACGGCTATAGGGTAAGGATTCCTGGGAGTCTATACTGAGAAACTTACAGAGGAAGAGGGCTGCTGTGGGGAGGGGAAGGATCCAGGGTTGGACCCTTGAAGGACAAGCAGTGTCCATGGAGACGACTGGTGACAGATGGGACCTTGTAGGGCTGGGGACGTGGAGTCTCTTCTCTGACATTCCCTGTCTTCGGACCCTTTCAGTACCTCTGTCTCTTGACTGGAGGTCAGATACCCAGCCCTGCTGTCCACTTTTTAGGAGAGGACCCAGCAACTGTTTCTTCAGGTTTTTGCATTTTCTCAAGATCAAGTGTCAAAAGAGTTGAGAACAGTTTTCTCAGGTTTCCCTGTGAGGAAGTTTAGACACTAGCCATAAAGAGACTTTGTCCGAATCCACAGGCTCCAGGCTCAGTGCTCTGCTCTTTCCCTGAGAACGCGCTAACTGGTTTTAACCCCTGGGCACCTGAGTGCACCTCTCCCCACTGACTCAAAGCAGCCAGGATTGCATTTGAGGAGGGGGGTTGTTCTCAGAACAAGCACACTTGACTGGCATCCTTTGGCCATGTGGCAATGGAACATGCTTCCAAACGTGCCCTGGTGAATCCTGGGGGAAATAGAGCCATACTCATCTCAAAGGCTTACAGGCTGGGGAGGGGGTGGAATGTGTTATCTCATTCCATAGCTGGGGGGACTGAGCTGGATCAAGGGAGTCTGTGGCCCACAATGTGTGCTGTCCATTCCCAGTAGCTATTGAGGAAACTTGAGACATGAGGTCACAGAGTCAGAAAGGGATAGTGACAGGATTTGAACCCCATTCTGTGGGTGCCTAGAAATAATGCCAGTGGAGCCAAGTCCAGTTCTTTGGGCCCAGCTCTTGATAAATGATGAATTTATAGGTATATCTATAGTTTATATATATATATGTGTGTATATATACATATATATAATTTTTATTTTTTCTGTGATATTTATTGAGCTCTACGTTTTTCTCTGCTCCCCTCCCTGCCTCTCCCCTCCCCACTTCAATTCTCCCCCAAAGTCCCCATGCTCTCAATTTACTCAGGAGATCTTGTCTTTTATATTTTGCCAAGTGCCTCAAGACCAGAACTCTTCAGAGCCCCTAGGAAGGCAAATATCATTCTTAGTTTCATACACTCAGTCATTCTCAGAGCTGCGACACAAATGATAGCTCCAGGGACCAGCTTGAGAATCATAGTGGAAACAGAAGCGGGTGGTGGACAAGGAAGTCAGGCCCCCCCCTTCCCAGCCACTGCTGCAGGTAAAGCTCTTTTCAGTGCCTCCTGTGTGGTCCAAGTCTCTCGGGGGTGTGGGGACTTCTTTCTGCCACCCGTTCTCAGTCTTCCTTCTCAAGGGTGGATGAGTGGGCTTGGGGGCCAGCAAGCTGAGCAGTTGTCTGACTTCATAAAACCCTCTGATTTTTTTTGGGGGGGGTGTGACCCTGGGCAGGGGAATTGCCGCAGACGTCGTCAGAAAACTCCCACTGAAGGAGGCAAAAGGAGAGCTGAACTATGTGTGTGTGTGTGTGGGGGGGTCCTGGGACAGGCGTGACTGTCACTCTGCGGGGACTTTAAATGTGGACAGCGTGGGTGCATGCAGACCTCGGCTTGGGCACACAATGGGCACTCAGGTGTGTGAGAGAGACCATTGAGCACTGTGTGTGCCCGTGCATGCAGTCACAGGGCCCTAAGCAGTCACCTTGCGGAGGGGAGCAGGGCACAAGGTAAGGGTTCTAGAGTTCACCTGAGTGAGGTTGGGGCACCAGCTTTTCTTCCCTGAGTTGGGGAGATTACATCTGGTCTGAGTCACCATTCCCTAGAGGAAGTTAATTAATACCTCAATATTTACCAAGTGTCTGCTGGGATGGAGGCTCTGAGCAGGGCACGGATCACTGGGGACCTGGTGATACCAGCCCTTATGCCTTGTAAGCACACGGGAAGCTGCATACACCAGACTTCGGGGTGTCTAGAGAGGTGCCTGGCCAGTGATAGGACTCACCCTTGGGGGCGCTTAGGGTGGTTGAGGGGAAGAGTGCCCAGGGCGAAGGGACCTTGGAGACCTGTGCTAGGAGGCAGGAGGAAGATTGTGACTTCTTCAGTTTGTCCTCTCCGGAGTTTTCAGAACTGTTATCTGGAGGCCATGGAAGTCTATGGAAGAACAAGCTAGAGCTTTGCCCTGCAGGTAGGGAAAGTAGATGGTGTCTCACAGAGCAGACAGGGGAGGCCCAGAAGCTCCTGTGCTCACACCAAGACCTTAGACCAGAGAGGCAGAGGGACTTTCCGGTATAGATTAGGAAGGGGGTCCCGTGAGGACCTGGTATACAGTTGGTGCTCAGTAAACTTCTGTAGGCTAAGTAAATCAATGAATGTGATGTGCAGAAGGTATGACCAAGGCAAAGCACCCCTTCTCCCCATTTCCACATGGGTAAGCTGAGGTCCAGGGAGCGGGGATGTATGTTCTGGGGTTTGGCCCTTCAACACCAGCCTCTTTCCCTGGTCTTCAGCCTCTGGTAAGGTGGGCAGGAGGGAGGCAGATGTTATTCTTCTTCTCTAGTTTGATATTAGTTTTCTCCATGGGGTCAGAGACCCTGGGCCTCATGTGGCAGCGGGGCTAGGCAGTGCAGGCTGGGCCTGTCTGAATCCAAGAGGCTTGTGATTCTTAGATGCAGGAGATGGTAGCTGTACTCCAGGAAGGTTACTGTGCAGCCACAAGTGCTGGCGAGCAAGGTTGGAGTCCCGCAGCCGTGGCAGCAGCCCTTCTCAACCCTAAAGGACCGCACCTTGTCAGTAACCCAGGTGGAAGTTCAGAACCCAGCAGTGTCTGCCTGCCTCACATGGTCCTAGCCGGGGCAAAGTGCCTAGCAAGACCCCGGAGCCCAGCTTCAGAAACTTCACGGACCTTCCGGGTCGTAAGAAAGACTGATGTCTCTTCAGTTTTGAAGAACTTGGTTCGCCAGGTCAAGGCTGAACCAAGCACCAGGCACATCCCCTGGAGGATGCAAGGGGCACAGAGAGTAGGTGCCCTTCTCGAAGTCATACAGCCAGGAGGAGATGTGGTGGGGATCTGGAGGAGATGGGCACCGTTCCATGGGCGGGTGAAGGGGACACAGTCCCTGCCACTCTCACTCATGGTCCTCCAGGTGACTGTACTTGTGGACAGAGTGTTATCTGTTGTATCTTGGGTTTCTGAGTCTTAGGCGAGCTGGGTGTGCATTTGTTTATCTTTAACTCATTCATTCAGGCTGCAGGCTGGGCTATGGCACAGGCTCGACTAGGCTGTAGGAAGAACAGGCAGCAGGTCTCACTGCCTGAAGGCCCATTTGAAGTATCCTTTTTATCCATTCCCCACCCCCACCCCGTCATCTGATTGATTGGTAATGTCTGCCTGGAGCTCTGGGTGAGAAGGGATTTGGTATATGCCTCACCTGATTAGTGATGTCTGCCAAGGGCTCAGCTGGAGCCCTCAAGACCAGTGTGCTAGGCAGTTTGGACACCTGGGTGTTCCAGCAGATTGAGGTGGGGGTTGGGGGTCCAGCATCAAATGGCAGGAAAGTGCTTTGAGAAGCCGGGGGAGGGGAGGACAGAGCTGGGGAATAATCACGCGCAGTTTTTCTTCTCTTCTTTCCCAGGGTCCTGCTGTAGGCCAGGGTTAACCCTAGTTTTTCTGGGCTGGAAGAGTGGGTGGGTGAGTGATGGCAGCTAAACCTTCCTGCCTGGAAGATTTTTTTTTTTAGAGCTCAGAACAGACTTTTTCCTGCATAGCTCTGCTGGGAGTTTCTAAACTCTTAGAACAGAATCTGGGATTTTTATTTGTATTAAA